AGAGACAAGCTAAACAACAGGTCATTTCATCTGACAATGCCACAGCTGCTGTCAAGCGTCAGCTGTTAGCTTCTGCCCACACATTGCAGAACTAATATTACTGACAAATACAAAAGCAGAATTTTTAAATGGCTGCTGAATGCTACTAACTCCTTTATCAATAAATGTAACTCAAATTTGGAAAAACAAATGAAGGGAAAATCAAATTATTAGATATATGTAATAATTGGGGGAAAAAAAACAGTGAATAAAAACAAAATACAAAAAAGCATCTTATCCTTCTGCAGCTGAAACTAAGCAGTTTTCAGCTGCTTGGGATTTGTTTTGAACTACTTTCCAATCTACAGAAAGCTAAGGACCTTGTTCAGAAGGATTTTTCCCCTACCCTTTCACTATTCACACCTAGCAACAAGAGTTAAATAGTTAATGACATTTTACCTTTCCTTGTCTCAGAGTTATGGTCACTCCTGAGTTTTTGACAAACCTGCTCATGCTTGTGATTTCATAGCTGCACTCAAATTCTCATCTATTACTGCGCAAAGTCTCTTACAAGTGTACTCATATAGGGGTCTTCCTCATGTTATACCCTTCCTTTAGCTCCTCAGCTTCTGTGAAACTCAATTATTTTTTCCCAAATCTTTTGAACTGAGATGTGTCAAGCAGTAAAAAAAGCTCTGAAGTATTTACTTCTGTGTTCTTGTTCATCTTCTCTTTTTTGAGGAAGATTGAACTGTGATTATAAACAAACACATTGTGCATTTTCTTTTTGGCATTGCAGAGCAGGTCTGTCTTTTGATTCTTCCCACTCAAAACAGCATGACTTGCAATGCAGACTTATTCATGGCTTCATAAATTTACATGGCAATACTTTGATTTTCTTATGCCTTTTTAGTACAGCACATGGCATATTCCATGATATATTAAAAACATCAGTGTGGGGACAGTTTGTCCCTTTTGTCAGATTAGAGGACTATGTTGAAGTACAATTATCTCTATATTCTATCTCATTATTTCACAGTGTCATGAAATAACAAAAATTCAAGTAAAAGTCGGGCAATACAAAAAAATAATCCTTAAATAATAATCTTGATTTCTTTCTTAATTCAAGCTGATTTGAAAAATCATATCCCATTTGTGATTATATACTGTACTACTTTGAAAAGAAATAACATATTCATAGAACCAACAGTGAAACTGATTTCTGAACAAAGCAGATGACATAGCAGACAACCCTTATCCTTCTTTGGACCAGTTATAAAATTAGTGAAAAATTCAGTGCTATCATTTCTGCAGGGAAATAAACAACTTTGTTAGAATTTACAAAAATAACCCAAGCAAGTTTGAGTTATGAGACCTGTCAAGTTTAGCTTGAAAACCTAAAAGTAGATTGATGGGAAGCCACAAGGCACTTTTATTTGCTAGCAGGTGGGATAACCATTTTGATACCACAGAAGTCCCTTGTTGATTTGGCATAAAATAGCTTTTATGTTTGTTCTTAAAGACAAAAAATACAGCACGATGAAATCTAGAGATGATATCAAACTAAAGAACTGTCATATAGCAAGGGCATGAAAACAACAAGAAAACATCATAAATGTTGAAAAGATATAAGATTTAACTGGCAAAACAGCAACTTATACATGTTGAGCAAAATAAAACAAATCATTGGAACATAATCCATGAATACAAAGTAGATATTCAGAAAAGGCGAACACACAGTGAAATTAGATTGAAACATCTATGTCATCTGTCCTAGCCCCTTTGTAACTGCAAAAATATGCTAAATCTGAAAAATGCTGAAGGCAGACAATAAATTAGATAACCCTTAGAAATAGTATGTACTGTGGTTATGTACAATATCTATCAATGGTAGAGTGTTGTCCTAAAAGAGCTACTGGAAACTGTAATTTTAGGGACATATTCTTTAACATCAGTTTAATTCCTTAGCATCAAAGTCAGTTTAAATATCTGATTTCCTGTGCACCTGATATACCCGTCAGATAATTTTAGGATACACAAACAACAGCAATTCTAAGTTTCACCTGCCCATACGTTACAACATAAATAAGATAGAGGCACTCCTTCCTTCAAATGGAACTGATGAGGAAATGCACATAGATGCCTTGTGCCTGAGTATCAGAAACACGTAATGCATCAGGGAAAAATTAAAAATCAAAGAATAATAAAAAAAAAAAACAACAAGCCATGCAGAAAAAACAACAAAACAACCGCAACAGCAAACAAACAAACATCAAAACATCAAAGGATTCTAGCTTTCCATCCCACAATAATCACAGCAATGAATGACTCAAAAACATTTCCAGTTTACAAAGAGAGCAAGAAGAGATTTCAGATTTCCAGTCAGAAAAATGGGAAAAATGAAAATTGTAAAAAGAAAAAGAAAATAGACCTATGCTATTTTATATTTTGGGAAGATTCTCTCTGGAGTCTACTAGTGCTAATGGCATATAAACTGTAACCCTGGGTATAGTAAACACAATAACAGTACGTTGTCAGTAATTATTTCACTTATTGTGTGTGTAGAGGACATTAACTGATAAAATCCATTAGACTGGAAACTGCCATCATAAAGAGTTATAACGGTAAAGAAAGATGGCTGAGAAATTTTTAATTCCTCCTTTCTCACTCTCTTATTCTTGCTATGGAACTCCTTTGATTTTTATTATTAATGTTATTATTATTACTTATATTATTTTACTTATATTATTATTAAATTATTTTATTTTAAGCTCTGTTTTAAGCTATTTGCTGCTATTAAGGTTATTGAAAAATAGAAATACAGTGAGCTGAAGTTATATAGTGCAAAACCTCTGTAACATCCTGAGGAAATTCTGCATTTCACAGAAAAATGGTTTGGTATCTGGATTAGCTAAACTTCTCACCACTACTCCTGCATGTGTTTTTACCTCTCTTTGGGTTTATGAGTGTAGTGTAAAACAGAAAGCAGATATTCTAGTAACTTCCCATTCCATACCACTGTGGCCAGATACTGAATGTGCACTGCCAGGGTTTCAAAGCAGCTAAGCCCATGCCTGTTCTACATAAAAGAACAATTTCCATCTCTGTTTGCAAATTACCTAAAGCAGCACATTACTTACTATGCACAGCACCTATAATTTGATCTTGGATGGACACTTTCTATTTTCCTTACATTTTCCCTGGGCTACTGTCACAAAACCTGATAGCCCACATTCTTCAAATCAACAATAACAGACATTAGGCCATCAGACCCTCTGTATTGCCATAGACTTCCATTCTTTCACTAATTTCCACTTTTCACTGACCAAGGGTGCTCTGCACTCAATGCTGCAAGAATACTACTTTCCCACATGGGGTCACATTTAGTTAAAGACAACAAAGAAATTGTATTTTGGTGACTTCTGAACATTTCAGATTGTTTCACACTTTTTTCAGCTTTCCCTACGAATCTTCTGAAGAGCTTTCTGATTCCCTCAGGATAACCACCAAACACAGGCAGATCTGTGCTCATACAGCTGCTGGTCATTACAGATGGCTGTTTTCTGGTCCCACAAAGAATGCAAATAGTCTCAGTCAGAATGAGAATATGTTGAATGTGCTTTTAAATCTGTCTAAGAGGACAAAATTGGGCTTAATTCCTTGTGGACCTCAATACATAGAGTAAACAGCTGAGAATTTAACTAAACAATAGAACATGTACTCAGAGAGATTTTCTTTCCCATGAGAGTTTAAGACTTAGGTATTTTTTCAGCAATTTCAAAATGAGACACATAAAATAAGACAATGGAAAAAAATAAGCCAAATTCAAATTTTGGATATGTATTTAAAAACTTAGGTTTTTTTTTTTTCTTTGTTTGTTTTTTGCCTTTGGTATACATTAGCAGCAACAAAAATAAAAAGATAAAATTTATTTAGAGTAAAAAGAGAAAATTCTTTACAAAATTATCTTCCAGCTTTGCTTTGAGACATTAGGATCTTAAGTGTATGCTTACTTTTCTATCTAACCACAAAGATGTCTCAGCTTAGCTTCGTACAGTCAGGAGATTGTACTGTACCCTTGCTCTATACGGAATTAATAGCATTAATTCATAAGATTCCCTTAAGAAATTTAAATATTTTGTTATTAACTATTTTAACTTCATTCCGGTAAAGAAATAAAATTTCTGACACCTTAATTTAACATTATTGCAATATGTGTATATACAAACTAAACTTACATTGACTTCTGAATTGCACCCTGCTCTTCAAACCAATAGTTCAGATACACTTCTGCATTGCAAGCAGGAGAACAGACGAACACAGAAACTCCAGTGGTGAAAATTAGCACATTTCTGGCTCACTGAAAATCAGAAAGTGCCAATTTTGATCCTAACACTGCAGATGCATCCATTTCAGGAACATGAGTGTTCCCTGCAGGAGCAACATGAATACAAGGACTATAAAGTCTTTAAGGAATCTGCATTTCCACATGACAGAATTACACAGAAATAGTGTTATGCGCTGTTGATCTCAAACCAAAGCATATCTATTAAGGAGCTGAGGAGGGTAAAAAGGGTAGAGATAAGGCTATTTAAGGAGATTAGAGCTATCTAAAGATTCTGTTTTTATTCAAATTCATGGAAAGAAATAATTTTCATCTTTCTCAAAACAGTCCTGTGCTGTCCATGCTTATTTTTTAAGGATTTAACCCTCCTAAGTATTCTCAAATTTGCAAGAACAGTTATCAGGAAAAATGATAAGATTTTTCCTTCATTTCTTAAAATACCTAATTTACTAGTATTTAATTTTAAATACTACACTGTAGCAATCAGTACAAAGTTCATTGTTTTGTGAATCATCAGTGAAATGTCTTTTAAGAAACATACAAAATGTGCACTGTGTTTGAAGATATCTTGTGACAAAAATCTGCCTAAACAATAAATATCAATCTGCTATTTCTACCTGCACAGATATAAATGGAACACATATGTAAACAGATGAAAACAGAGATCTTTAAATACCATGACTGTTGCATCGTGATGTTTCCACAAGTCTACTGTTCTGATCATAGCATGCCATGGCCTGGTAACGATAGCCTTGTCCACATTCCTTGATGTCTCCTTGCACCTTCATTCCCAGCAATACTTCCACTTTGCCCTCTGGTAAAATACAGTCTGACCAATTTCCCACAGGCTGTGCGCTGTATTTATCACATGGACAAAACTGATTCTCAATCAGAGGATATAACTGAGAATTCCTGCATTTATCTTTTTTCTTACTTTTTCCTGGAAAGAAAAAAAAAATATTTTAGAAAGTTTATATCGGTTTACATCTCCAAAAAATTTCATTTATCCATTCTTAAGACAATTCCTCCAACAAAGATAAACCTCAGGCTTAAGTTAGCAAATTTAAGTGCTTTAAATCAAATATGCATTCCCAAAATTAGTTAGATTAATTCTATTTCTTTAGGTTAATGACTTTTATTTCCTAAGGAATTAATGCCTAAAGTCTGTACACATGTAATGCTCTTTAAAGATAAAGTCATATATTTTTGTTTACTTTGGATAAATGTTCTTGTGGGGTATGTTTTAAAAAAGTTAGTAATTAAACAAATATATGATTTTTGGTCTACTAAGGGAAAAAAAAACAGTTCAATAAAAAAAAATTCTCTGGATAAAACTTTCTCAAGTGAAAGAAAATTGCAAGAGAAAGTAACATACAGCTTTGTCACAGTAGTAATTTTTTTCAAAATTTGAAAACACTTTCATTTCATTACCTGTTGTCACACATTTGTTAATAATTACCATTCCTATGAATGTAAAGAGCTCCTTCTGTGAACTCATGTTTTTCTCCTAATCTGATTTTCCTTGTTTAACTCAGTGTACACATCTACCCGTCTGCAAACCCCATTAAATTTACTTTTAATCTCCTTTATGGCAAAGTTTGGTCTATTTTCTTTCCCATATAAAACAGCTTATGTAATAAATGTAAAAGTCTTTGCAGAACAGTTTGAAAGATTCCTGTTTCTTAGATTATACTATAAATTAATATTCTGCAATATTCTCCTTGTTTTTCAAAAGCATTGGACAGAACTTTGCAGCACCTTTATGATTACATTTACTATTGCTTTTGTTTAAAATAAAAACAAGGTACTTTTAGAAAATAATTTCCTCTTCTGACAACACAACTTTTTATTAAAAATACCCCTCTCTTTGAAACCCTCATCTTCCCTTGGATAATTATGAATGCATACCCAGTTAACCTTTATGGCAACTGTGTAGCACATTGCAATAGGTGTAACACCATATTGCTGCTTTAGCTAGTCTGAAGAGGTAATTCAGGACAGGGAAGTACCTCACCTGGCAGAGTAGATAGTGTGATAGGATAATTGACCATTTCTTGCTTTGTTTCTAAATCTATTTTTCCTCCTCGTGCAGAAGCAAATCTGGCATAAAGTTCACTGGAGTTGCAAGACAGTCACAATGAACCTTCTTGAAGATCATGAATTATTTACTCTTCACAGATCTTTTGATTTACAACAGCATGAAGTGACTGATAGGGATTTTATGCTATCATATTCTTTCTGAAACTGCTAATGGGCACCTCCCTTAGCTAGCTTTTCTCCTCCACAGATAACACAGACTAATTGGCAAATAGTGCTGTGACACAGGCCAAATCTTACACTTCAGGTTTCAGTTATAACTTGAAAATAGAAAAGTTTTGTGTTTTTTTTTTTTCCCCTCTTCATTTCATGCAGAAGTAAAAGAGCAAGTTTAAAGAAAGAAATTGAAGAAAAAGTGTTCTTCAAAGTGGCAGTGGGTTTATCACACAGAGCAAGTAAAAGTTTCTGGAAAAGGATTAAATGTTATTGGAAAACTTTTTATTCTGTTAATACAACCTCAGGAAATTTCAAGGGACACCACTGCCTCAAACACATAGAGCATCACAAGACTGAGCATCTGCAATAAAGAGAAAAATCACCCCAAAAAGAGCATTCTCAGTAGTGGCAAAAATAAGGCAGAAAATTAAGCAGAAGACAACAGAAGAAGTGAGAATATAAAGAACTGTAAAGAAAAAATATTCAGCTCCTTCCTGTGTTATTCTTACTCCTCTCTAGCCACCTCCCTATGTTCAAGAGTTGTAAGGGAAGCTTTAATCGAAACAGTTAATAAAAGATGTATTATCTTCCTTGTTATTCTTACCAATAAGAATGCGTTTTCTTGTTCTAACTCCTCCACAGTCCCCATTGCAGGAAGAAAACTTTGACCAGTTTGTAAACTGACAATCATCTTGACAGGGAATCTGACATGTCTGTGTTAACGATGGTAAGGGGCCAGCATACTTAAGGCACTCACTGATGTCAGCCTGTCCTCCATCTTGTCTGCGACAAGTAATTGCTGGAAGCAAAAAACGAATTGGATTCAGTTTGGCAATTTTTCATGAACATCTATAATTTACTAAGTCTACAGCACACTACCAAAAAATCACACTGAAAGCCCAGAATATCTACGCAACAAACGAAAATTTGTTGTTTATTATATCTTAAATGAATGCATTTGATCTTTCTGAATGACTCTTTTGAGATTCTCTTTAATTTACTATTTCTTTATCAGTACATAGCAGGAAAAAAACTCACTGACAACTGTAAATATTATGTTACCCATGTTATCACCACGTTATCCATATCTGTTATGCTGATTTTCACAGTATCATTACATTATTCCTGGAGAAAAGCTATAATTCTGACATTAAAAAACTTGCATTGCCATTTTCAGTAGCTGTGTAGCACATAAGAAACAAAACTCTATCAAAAGCTTATATGTTAGAAAGGAAAGACATAATATTTAGAAATACATTCTGGATAATACTTTGCCACTTGCAACAGTATTGCAGCCCAACTTTTTTTACCAATTTTTGGTTTTTGAAAGAAGACTGAAAGACAAATTATATTTGCAATGGGTGAAGTACCAATAAACAGAGATGCAACGCTTTATAAAAGGACAGCCACATCCTAAACAAAAGCTTTTGACAGGAAAAATAAAAAAGACATTCTTAAAAAACTACAGGTGACACTAAAGGAAGTAGTAGAATGCAAGGATTCAAAAAGAATGGGGCTGTCTCATCCACTTAATCTTTAACAGTGTTCTATTGTTGCTCCTCATGGATAAATTATTTTTGTTGTTTTGTTTTGTTTTTTTTTTTAAACATGGTTCTTTATCCATTATTCTAACCTAAGCCTATGTAAATCTTATTTCCTAGCCCCAAACAACATAAAAGTTATTTTGCAGTAAGATTGAAAATTTCCAGTTGTTTGTTCACACAACAGAATCACATTTATGCTTATTCACATTTCACAGCACACAGTATATGCAGTATCTCATAATGACTGTGAAAGTAATTTGGATCACCCATTGCTGCAGCAACATTGCATCCAAACACAATATATCATTCTCTAAACATATGAAGGAATACCATGCTTTATTTTACATTCTGCTCCATCATTTAAACATAGTACTTCAACTGTACTGTCAGTAATTGTTTTACTGGTATGTGAATTAAAAAAAATGTAAATTTTTGCATCCCAAGTATTATGGTATAATCATGCTGAACTGTTGAAGAAAAAATGGGTTTGAAAACAAGTTTCCAAAATAAAACAAAATTGGCTATAAATTATTTTTTCTTTCTTTTTTTTTTTTAAAAAAAAGGAAGAATACTTGAAGAAGCAAGGGTTTTTTCTGTTTATTTGTTTGTTTTTTAAAGACTGTTGCAAGGTAATTTCAAATGTGACATGTGCAAGCCTCCCTGCCGATTTATTTCATGATAAAACAGCTTTTTTCTATTGATAGTTCTAAACTAAATTTTTATTTCATGATGACTGTAGTAAGCTGAACATGATGATGAGAATGGTCTCTTCCAAACCCATGTACCTACTAAAATATCCAAAGGTCCTGAGTGAATTGCTTTTGCTATACTTTTGTGCGAAAACACTGAAAGAAAGGGAGGCTTGTTTTTCCAGAGACCTAAGCAAACCATTTCCCTGATCCTTGACTGCCCTTTGGTTCAGCGGTGCCAGTACTGTTTGCTATAGGGTCAGTATGGCATTAAGTTGTGCTTACTGGGGGATTGACCAGCCGTATATTGTCTAATACAATTAATCTGTCAAATCCTATTAATATTGGTGGATTTATACAAAGAAACCTCCTCTTTTTTCTTATTTTTTTCCCCAGATGTCATGGTTCAAAGAGAAAAAGTAAGTATCTAAAAACTGAAAATCCAGACAACTATTTTAATGATGAACGGTACATGCCATAGTATTTCTACAGTTACACAAATATGGAAAACCATAGGTCAAACCAGCATCTTCTAATGCAGGCCTGGACTATGGTTTTGGATTCTTGTGAGATAATATACAGCATATATCCCAAGGTAAAAACATAGTTTAGACAAGTTCTACTATGTGGAAATTCACAGAGTCTATATCCTGTCTTGTGTTTATCCTTGGAATGTATGCACATCAGCAAAACTAATTTCATTTCATTTTCAGAGAGACAAAGGCCAACATTTTTAGCAATGAAAACTATACTTACCAAAGGACTAAAATATACTTCACTGATTAATTCAATAAATTTTAATAATCAACCTCAGAAGTTTGATAGCCATATTAAATACTGCCCCTCCATCTTATTCTTTGATAGGCCATAAACACTGTTAATTTGAGAACATACTTCCTTACAAGCAAACTGAGTATTTTTAAAGCCAATATTCTTTCCAATTTTCTTGATTATTAAACATTACTCAGAGATAAGTATTCAGTCTGCTATAAATTTTCTTCAGAAACATATTAGTGCATCTAATTTACATCAAGCAGACCCAGGTGAAAAGTTCCACTAGGGATTAACACCAAGCTGTTTGTTTTTTGGTTTTTGGGTTGTTTTTTTTTTTTCAGATTAAATGTCAGTTATACTGTACCAATCAAAGGAGGAAAACTCTTCATTCTTGAGACCCAAATATTTCACCTTAATAACAACACAAATTAAAGGACAGCTTGGCATTCCAAATCAATTCCTGAATCTTAATTTTCAGAGAGCCTGTCCATAACTATTCATATTACTTCTATTTGACAGGACTTGGATACATTTTACAGATTCAGGTATCTACTTGAAAGGTTTATAACTCCATGTGACAGTTAGAAGGGTGCGTATTTTTCCATTATTTGAAGTAGGGATTTTGACAACTGTATACATTTATATGTATTAATATAGCATTAATACATTATTTTGGCCAGTCATCAGTAATGCCCTTATTTCTAACATAGATGTTAAGAGTACAATCTACTTTTTCAACACACAGGCTAATTCGGGCAAACCCCAACCCTGCATCTTTGAACAAATGCATGGTTCTTTAATTATATTGAATAAATGTCACTGAGATCAATGGTTAACTTATTATTCAGGGCAATATCTTCAACTTCTATAAAGCTATGCAGTGTCAAACTAATTATTTGGCCTATACAATCATGTCACATTTATTACTGACATTAGCAGTAAGTGGAAAGAGTGTGGCTCTTCTACTACTGAATTAAGCACAAGTAATTGTTAAGTGAAAGCATAAAGCAGGAGTTTGGCTAATAGAAAAATCAAATTTAACAAGGAAAATATTCACTTAGGAAATTGTTTTGGCATCTAACAATTATAATCCCTCAGAAGAAAGGTGTGAAACAAGCAGCAGTTTAAATTTTCTAGACAAGGAACTTTGATGCAATTAAACTTTATCTGATAGCACCGTTTCCAGTAAGCCATGAGAGATGGCAGGCTAATACATTTGTTGATGGCATAATCAAACACTAAGACTGTATTTGCACAAGTCTTCCTAAGAGTGGATTTATATAAGAATCTTTCCAGCATTGCTCCTATCATCAAGATTTCAATGAGGTGTGAGATTTATTGACCTCAAACATTCCTAGAAATTAGACTGCTTTATGAATGAAAGTGCTCTAATATCATCTGCTTTACCCTATAGTTGTGCTACTATTTTTTAATTTGTTAAATATTTAGTAGTAAAATCATTGTTTCACTTCTAGAAAAGCAAAAAATTATTCCAGAAAATACTAACTTATACCTACTATCAATATTGCCTTGGCTATTACTTCATCATTCTCTGTTTCTATTTCTGCAGGATATGTCAGACTAGACACTGCATTATGAAATATTTCTATCATGATGTATATTAAGCAGGAGTATGTGTCAATAATATTGGGAAAATGCAAGTGCAAGAGTACTTCATGTGACAAAGAGTAACAATGTGTTACTGCTGAATCTTTTCAGGAGATTGCCTGGAGATCTGAGGTCTTGTTTTGGCAATACACCATTAATTTCTCACAGCAATAATAGCTTTGAGCATTACTGTCCAAATTCTTCTGTATGAAAACTGAAGTTGCCCACTGTTACCTGCAGTGACTTTTCAGTCATGAACTACACAGTAGGCCACTGTCATCTGATAAATCTCACTGAAGTAAATATAATAGTTTGTAGCTCCATGAAAGAGCAGCAGTCCATTGTCATTTTGTCTCTTTAACTGTGCTTTCAATAAGAGCACAAAATAGGCACAAGAGCAAATGCCCCCTCCAAGTGAGCAATGCCCAGAGAGAGAGGCTACTGTCACTGCTTATCTACAATGAGAGGAAAATGGTTTTGACCACTGATTCTACCTCTGAGCCTCCTCACGGCTAAAACAAGCCTGTAAGGCCACTTATGTGCTCATAGCAATCCTGGGAAGTTTCCCCCAGTTCCCCCACCCCATGGTCTTTCAAATAATTATTTACATGCTATGAATGAAGAATGGTAAGTCCTCAGGATCAGACCTTTAATAATGGCCAATTCCCAGTGACATCAAGTACAGCCATTCAGAGATATTTCGTCTGACAGCAAGCTTATTAAACCTTCTGCTTAAGTTTTATAAATAACATTCTTCTTGCTATTTGAGAATCTGCTGACAGATTTCACAATTTTCATCCCATTTCTCCTACAAAACTCTGAGGAAGATTTATGGTGGCAAGGACTGCAGGCTGCACATCCTTTTTCAAATCTCTTTTCGGTCACTGGGGTAGCTCTTTCCTGTGCATCCATCCATATACATCATGATGCGATTAGGCTATCGCAGTTTGGGCATATGGGCTGTATCTGCTATGTGTCTTCTTCACTAGCATTGGAATGCGATCCAACAAGCCCTGCTTCAATCTGCAAAGGCTATGGGCAAAACAGACCTTTTTAGCAAGCAAGTTTCTTGGACTTTCCTATATAGTTCAAAAGGGATTTGAACTATATTTCTAAGTTCCTTCAGAACTATATTTCTAAGTTCCTGAGGTTTGCCAGCATCTTAAGATACAAATATAGAATAA